TACTATGCATTCATTGGTATCAGCATTAAAGAAATTGGGGGAGATTGCAGTGGCTGATGGGATACAAAAAAAATGTGAGAGGCACATAAAAGTGTATTATATTGTGTGAAATTTTTTTAGTGGATCCTGCATGTTTAACTCTTGATCGCTACATATCTGATGACTGTTTAACAGAATTGCTACCCCAACTAGCTGTTATCTTGCACTCTGAGGGTATTATTGAAAAAATTAAGCTGTCCCCAAATGATCAACTGCACTCAATTAAAGTGGCACTGTGGAAAGGTGTTGCTTCTGATCAGCGTAATCTTGAAAAGTTTGCTAGTGTTTTAAGGGAAAATGATGCTGCAGATATTGCAAGTAGCATTGAAAGAGATTATTGTATGTCCAATAATAGTAATTATAATAATATTATGGCAAACTTATTTTTGTAGCTGCTGCAAGCACAGAAGCTGCAGGTAATTAAGAATTGTTTTAGCTCAAAGCTTGAAGTCTGGCTTGGTATTTCCAAATTTTCAGAAAGCAATATTTATCAACAAGTGTATATAATTTATTGTGGCAAGTCCCAAAAATTTGCCTGGAAATTTACCTTTTGTAATAGTAATAAAATGCTTTCATGTTATGGTCAATACCCTGGCCTGGTGCCCTTTATCTAATCTTTTACTAAATATACTGTACTTTTGGTGTATATAGGCCAAAGGCAACTAATTCTACAACCAAACCCCAGCCCTTTGGTAACTATTTGATTTTAAATCAATCTCACACTGCATGATTATCTTTATCAGATATTTGAAGATGAAATATATGGAGATATTGTTATTGATCATCCCTTGATTGTGAAAATTATCAAAACACGTCAATTTCAGAGATTAAAAGATATCAAGCAATTAGGTAGATATATGAATTTCTATAATATTAGACTGAATTATTTTTTTATTCTTGTAGGATTTACTTACCAAAATATACCAAAAGCAAATTATTCAAGACTTCAACACAGTATTGGGTAAAAATATGTAGGTGTATAATAATTTTAACCGTAAATTATAGCATGTACTATCTTGCTGGAGAATATCTTAAAGAACTTTGTAAGAATCAACCTGAACTGAAGGCACATATATCTGAGTCTGATGTTTTGTGCGTACAAATTGCTGCTCTTTGTTATAATCTGGGTTTTGGTCCTTTCTCTCATACTTTTAATATGTTTCTGAAGGAAGTAAAAAAAGGAGATAAAGCCGAAAATCCTTGGGATGTAAACGTACATAAATTTTAGTTATAAATTTTATTATTTGTTGCAGAATGTTTCTGTTAAAATGTTTGAATACATGTTAGAAGACACTAAAGATTTAATGGCATCCTTTGAAGAATATTTTAAAAATCCTGAAGAAAATATTGCATTTATCAAAGAACTTATGAGAGGAAATAATGAGGTTTGCCAAATTTTAAAAAGTATTGAGTTTCTGTAATTTTGCATGAATATAATACAAACTGAGTGTGCCAAACTTTCATATTTTATATTTTATTGTAATTATTATAGCGAAAAAAGTACAAAGGCAAAGAATTTCTATATGAGGTATGAAACAATCTTACATGTATTATGCTATGTATATACTCTACATCAGATTATATTAAATGAAAGTGGTTTGAATGTCAATGTAATTGATTACACAACACGTGATGCTGCTGTTTTGGGAACGAAAGTCACTTTCAAATGGAGGTAGTTATACATTGGTGACAACATGTAGAGTTCAATTTATTTACAGAGTATTTCTTACCAAAATTCGTGTTTTGAAGTGTACTGATGGTAAACTACATATCTGCTTTCATGAAGACGTTAGAAAACATTTGTAATGTACTTTTAACCATACTTATAGGATTTGGAGACATACAATGATTTCTTTAGCACT